AACTCCTACTCTGAAGCAGCCTGACATCACAGAAATCGCGTGGAGTTTAGAGTCAGTCCGTCATGTGTACACACAGCGGGTTCTTCGGTGTGTCTGGAGGCCAAGCCTGTCCCCTTCCCTGTGTTCGTGACCCGATCTCTGGACAGAGTGAGGAAGCGGTTGATTATGAAGTGAAGGGCAGGCAGGTATGTGTGGGTTGAGGTTGGTGTTCAGTCCGAGCTCTCCTCTGGGCCGGTGGCAGTTACCTCTCCCATGTCCACCTCTTCTCTAGGACAAACTCCTAGTGCTTTTAAACATTTTTTTAAGTGTTTTTTTTTTTTCTTTAATATAACAAAGCTAAGTCATTCTTCTTTGGATTTTTTTTGGAGGAGAAAGTAGGCAAAGTGAAAGGCTGCTGTATCTCAGAGAGGGCTTGCGTAGTTAAATAAGACCACCGATATATTTGTTTTGAGCATTTTTAGGTTAAGGTCATAACTTGCATGCTAATTGCATATGTATGTGCACATTAAGCGGAAACGCCAAGTAGAACTGGCAGCATCTGCTCTAAGAGTGTTTGGCCCTGCCTTTCCCCAAACTATCTGCCTATTGATCCTTAGCCACCACAGGTCTGTTTTGATGGTTGATGAATAGAATTGACATGCATTCAAGAATTCTTCAAAGAAACAATACCATGGGCTCTGAGAGTTTTGGAAAAAGAGACTTGGATCTCACCTGGTGTGGCTCTCCCACTTACTGAAAGGACCCAGGTGGCTGAGAGGTCGAAGCGCCAGCCCATGGCCTACCAGCGCTCAGCAGCTCACATTTTCCACTCCTTAGTCTGGTGTCCTTTGTCACTGTGATTTATTTGCTATGGCTTTTCCGCAGTAGACTTGCTAAATTTAAGCCTGCCTTTTTCCATTGCAGACATAAATCCTGTCTGCCTACGGTGTGCCTACATACACAGTTAGGTCATCGCCAAATTTTACATTGCTGCACACACCTCAGAAATCTGTGTCCACCAAACCCTGAGCAGAGGGAAGTCCTTTTGTGGGTCTTAGGCATTTCTCTAAATTTGTTTCTCAACAAAGTACTAAGCACACAGTTTGGGAGAACAAAACCAGGTTGCCCATCTCTCTGTGTTCACCTAAGACATGAGCTTAGCCATCTGGTGGCCACACTGCTCACGCGGCCCTAGTGCCTTCCCACAGTGCAGTGACGTTTGTGGGTGTTCTGTGGCTGACACCCTCATCCTTAGAGGCGTGCACTGCCCAAACTTCACTGCGCTGCCTCTGCTGCACGCGGTGTGGTGGGCGAACCCAGTGATGGAGATCAAATGCCTATTTCTGGGCTTGGTGTCGTGTTAAAAATAAAACTGATGAGGGCATGTCTTCTCCCTTTTAAATGTCTTCTAAATAGAAAGGAAAAACAAAAGAGCCAAAGCTGAAAATACATTTCACTCTGTTTTTCTCCCCTGAGGTTCTATTTTTAAAAAGTTGTTTTGGTCCAGGGTTAGAGTTTTCTTATATTCCTAAAACAACCTGTGCTACAGATGGCAAGGTTGGGTGGGGAATAGCGTGAGTGCAGAAGGAAGGGTCTCGTTCTGGGGGCTGAAAGTGGGGAAGCCGTGTGGAGCGGTCTCCCCCGCAACATGCAAAGGGAGGACTCAGCACAGTGGCACGAAGGCGAGACGGGCGGGCTGTTCTTTGCTATAGGAAGTTCTGGGTCTCTGCCTTGAGAGCTGGGTTAGGAGGAGCAAGGCAACAGGTCACTTTTTTGGGTGCCCTTCTCTCCCCAGTGTTGGACTGGTGGTGCTGTCCAAGGGGCTTGGCCTCTGCAGACAGAATACTTTTCTTGCTCAGTTGTGACTTGCAGGAGTTCTGCTGTTTTCCTCAAAGGGAATAGTCCTGAGTATTTGCATGTCGAGTACCCAGAGGTTCAGGAGACCAGGCACACATTAGTGTCCTGGAGTAAGACTGGCATTTGCGTTTGCTGAGAAGTTTCCGGCTGGAAGGTTAGAGGCTGGGTCCTCCCAGACAGAATGTGGTGCCATTTGAGACCAGAGCATGGGGCCAGGCAGAGGCAGGAGATGCGGAGGGAGGTGGGGACAGTGTGGGTCAGGGATGGGCACCTTGGTAGGCTTCCAGGCCTCACTCTTCAGTCTTCTCAAACGTGCCTCCCTGTGTGCAGGTGAATGGAGCGAGGCCCTGTACCCCCTGCTGACCACGCTCACGGACTGCGTGGTCATGATGAGTGACAAGGCCAAGAAGGCGATGGTCTTCCTGCTCATGCAGGACCGCGCGCCCACCATAGCTGCCTGCCTGAGCCTGCAGCACCGCCGCGACGTGGTCTTCTGCCAGACCGTAAGCCCCGCGCCCCCAGACAGGCCCAGGAGTCTTGCCCCTCACTGCACGCAGGAAGAGCCAGGTGTTCTCCTGCCTGTTGCCTGTACATTTATTTAATGCAGAGGGAGGAAGCTCCTGATGGGTCTCCTGTAGGAGAGGGTCTGATTCCACCCTAGAGCCGGTGCTGAGAGGATTCGCATACCTGCTCCCCCTGCACTGAGGATGCGGTGGCGTTACAGATGGCTCAGGCCCCTTTGCCACCGTTTTTCCCCCTACAGAGCAGTTTAATGAGAGGACATGGATGTTCGCTGTCAGCGTGATCCAATCTGTTGTTTATAAAACAGCAGGAGCTGGGTTCTGTGCTGGCACACAGCTCAGTTTCAGTGGCTGCTGTCAGTGGCAGAGGGGAGAGCTTACACGAGTGTCACAGGTTTCATTGTTACTAGTCATCGAATGGGTGAAGTGAACACTGAAGGTGAAGGAGGGCTGGGCTGGCTCTCCATGTGTCCCCCCACCTCCGCCAGGCCTGTCTCATTCTGTGGAAGATCTTCTGCCAAGGAGACTTGCAGAGAGACATGTCTTCTCAGTCTTGTCTCTCGTTATGGTCACCTCAGGTTCCAGCCAGAGCTGGTATGGGTTCCTGAGCGTGTAGACCCTTTCACTGTGGGGAATTGACTCTGGGCTTTCAGAAGGTTCTGAAGCCCAATTAGAGCAGAGGGTGCAAAGTGCTCGGGCTGGGGGGTTGCCATCATGAGCAAGTGTCTGTCCCCTGCAGCTGACTGCGCTCATCTGTGGCTTTGTCATCAAGCTGAGGAACTGCCTTCACGACGACGGCTTCCTGCGGCAGCTCCACACCATCGGGCTGCTTGCCCAGTTTGAGAGCCTGCTGAGCACCTACGGTGAGACCTTGCTCCCACAGTGGGCGCCTGCGAGCCACGCTTTCTTCCTCGGCGTTTCCCTGACCACACAAGGAACGTGCGCTGATTCATAACAGTCTCCAGCATCCCCAAAATGCATACCAAGGAACCAGACTAGACTCCTGTGTCCCCTGGCCCCCATTGGTCTTGTTCCTGGTAGGAGCTTGAAGCTCTTCCCAGCTGAGGGTGAAGGGGCCTTACTCAAGTGGCACTTTCCTGAGGGTCATGGGGCCACTTCTCAGTTGCTCCACGAGCACGGTACTGCCCTGCTTCTCTGTGCAGAAGTCCACATGGGCCTATTTCTGCAGCCACTGTTGATGGAAGGGAAGTTGCTGCATCCAAGGGTAGGGATGTTTTAAAATTTCATAGGTATTTTCAAATTGCTCTCTAAAAAGGTTCTGTTCTCCCCATCTTCATTTTTTGGTTTTCTCTTAGCAGGTAAAAATGGATCATTTAAAAAAGTATTTGTTAGTCTTTGGATTGTAAGACATCAGTAAACATTAGGCATATGCAGCGGAAGGGTCCAACCACAAAAAGCTGTTTTATGCTTTCTCTGTCCACTTCCAAAGGGCCAGCTCTGCCTTCTGAGCCCCATGCTGGACAGGACAGCACATTTTCCCGCCAAGTGCGTTTTTAACGTCGAGAAGCGAGTCATCTCGGTAGAGAGGCTCAGAGAGGCCCCTGCCCACACTCTTGTCCCCTCTCATCACAGCCACACCCGATCGTGTCACCTCGCATCTGTGTCCCACCCTGTGACCATGCTGAGGCCACTAGGAGAGTGGTGGTCCCCTCCCCCAACAGTCCTCCTTCCCTCTCTTGTCCAGGTGAGGAGCTGGCCATGCTGGAAGACATGAGCCTTGGAATCATGGACTTGAGGAACGTGACTTTCAAAGTCACTCAGGCCACTTCCAGTGCGTCGGCCGACATGCTGCCTGTCATCACAGGAAACCGGTAGAGTAGTTTTTAAATTCTCAGTCTTCGTTCATGCTCTCTTAATTTTGTTTCATTCTATTTCGTGCAAATAAAGTGCTGGTCACAGCCGCCTACATCAGTGTCACCCTCTTGAAGCCTTATGTCCCTCCCCCGGCCACAGGCCTAACCCCCCTCATTTCCAGGGATGGGTTTAACGTGCGGATCCCCCTGCCTGGCGCCCTGTTCGATGCACTGCCCCGTGAGATCCAGAGCGGCATGCTGCTGCGTGTGCAGCCTGTGCTCTTCAATGTGGGCATCAACGAGCAGCAGACTCTGGCCGAGAGGTGCGTGCCTACCCCTGGGGCCAGGGTGGCCGGCGTGGCCTGAAAGCCTACCAAGGTGCCCGTTCCCGTAGCTCAGAAACGAGCCTCAGCTGCCAGTGCCCTAGGGTGCTGAGAGGAAAAGCCACATGGGCCTCAGGTGGACAGGAATCTTTCCCTCTGAATGATGATGTGGGACCGTGGACAGGCTGCTGTGTAGGAAGTCACCTGCATGTTCATGAGGCCACCTGCACCTTCCTCGTGGTGGCTTTTTTCTGCCCCTCCCCGTCACATCTGGCAGGTCCTGGCCACCTGCAAGGCACGCGGTGAACCTGTGTGGTGAGAAGAGCTAGCTCCTTCACCAGTTTGGGAGGAACAGCTCATCTGGTGTGGTCACACAGGCCAAGTGCAGGACTGTGTCCTCACCCCTTGCCATGGCCCCACTGCCGTCCCCTGTCTTGAGTCCCTCTGGGACTGGAGGACACGGGGCCCCCAGCTGAGCGCTGTGAGTGGTTTCTGTGCTGTGCTGCCCAGGGCTGGTCTGGACTGAGCTTTCTCTGCCACCCTCAGGCAGGCACACCTGCCACAAACTGCAAGGCTCCTGCTAACGAGATGTGTATAAACCCATCTCTAGCACAGCAGACACAACCTTGGGCTTGGGAGGAGGAGGGTGGCTTAGAATTGGGTGTGCAGAGAGAGTGTTAGAGAGAGGCGGTGGTGTCAGCTTGGGTGAGTCACAGTTATGCTCGAAGGAAGCAATGTGACTAACGGTGTCCCTTGTGACCCCCAAAGGTTTGGCGATACATCTTTACAAGAAGTTATCAACATGGAGAGTTTAGTGCGTTTAAATTCCTACTTCGAGCAGTTTAAGGAAGTTTTGCCTGAGGATTGTAAGTATTTTTTCACCTGTGACAGGTTCCACCTGTTGTGTCATTTTGGGTACCTGAGCCTTCCGTGCTACTCAGCTGCCTGTGGCCTTCCGGACACCCCTCCGTCCCTGCTCCCTGCCTCCTGGCGGCCTGTCACCCCAGACTCAGCCCATCCAGTCCTCACCCAGAGAGCTGCCCTCAGGCTGTGGCCCTCGCAGGTCCCCTTTCTGCCCGGTTCTCTGCCACCCACGTCACGCAGGGCTCCAGTCACAGCAGATGAGCATTGTGGTCGGGGACGGGGAGTCCTGTGCTCAACATTTTGGGGGACGGCCACTTTGCCATTAACACAACTTGGTGGTGAGGCCAAGGAAGGTGGGACAGGAGCAAAAGCAGCCTGGCGTGGGCTCTCCAGGGCCTGGCTAGCAGCTCTGGACTCTGACCCAGGAGGCTGGAGGAGTGGCACCGTGTAGCCCTCGGCCCCTGGAGAATTGCTGGTCTACATGTGGGAATTGGCTCCCGCCCATGAATTGCCATGTGTGCTTGGTCCATCAGTGGGCAGGTGTTCACTGTACGGGACACTTGGGAGGCCAGGTGGAAGCTGTGGGTGACCTGGAAGGTGAGGCGGTGCTTCTCCAGGAGGCTGCATCCTGACCCACCTCCTCCAGGTGTCCACAGCCTCCATCACAGGCTGACCCTTCTTTCTGTCTGTTTCTGCCTTGCTTTCTGACTGGTGTAGTGCTGGGCATATATCAGGAATGTGAAATAATTAACATTGGATCCTGTATCTACTAGGGTGAGGCTGCATAGTAGACATTGTCTACTTGACCCAGAATCCCATGTATTTGGTTTTAATGTGGGATTCAGGCACTATGGCTGTTCCCTAGATGTGTCCTGAGACTCCTCTTGTTCCCTGGTGATCCCAGTATCTGCACACCCCAGGTTTCTTAGGTGAGGCCATCTGACTGGTCTTGGTTTGAAGGGCCCTGGCAGGGTCTGGAGATGCCATGGTGGCCGAGGGAGCTGTTAGGTGAGAAGGCACCTGCCTGGGTCACTCCAAGTTCACCTGCAGGAGGCAGTGCTTCCCACATCCCCCCGGGGTTGGCCAAGCCCACCCAGTGGTCAACACCCCCTGCCCTGAGCGCCCTGCATCCTGACAGAGGTCGTGAAGCCAGATGGGTCTCCTTCCTTTGATGGTCAGTGTCCACCCTCCAGCCTGTTGGAAGAGCTGAAAGGTAACCTTTGCAGGTGGGACTGGAATGACAGTGAATGTAATTAGGTGCTCACCACACTGGCAACCAGTCCAGGCCCTAAACAACCCTCCTTTATTGCTTAAATCACACTAAACTTCCAGCTTCGACCGGACACTTCATTTTGCTGTTGGTGTGCCAGAGGCCCCCTGGGCTGCGTCCCTAGGCCTAGCACCAGCTCTCGACCTCTCTGTTCCAGGCCTACCCCGGTCCCGGAGCCAGACATGCCTGCCTGAGCTGCTGCGGTTTCTGGGCCAGAACGTCCATGCCAGGAAGAACAAGAACGTGGACATCCTCTGGCAAGCCGCTGAGGTGCGCGTTAGTGTGGGGAAGTCTACTTTCCTGCTGCCAGTAACAATAACAACAAGAACAGGTTCACATCTCAGCCAGGAGCGGAGAGGGCATGTAGCTCCAGGTGGACACGAGAGTCGCCGAGTGTGTCCCTAGACTTGGGCAGACCCTACACGGTGCCCTTGCTTATGGGCTGCCTGAATTCTGATAAGCTTGACACAGAATCTGTCTTCTGGGCCATTTAATAACCAGGCTGATAGCTGTCACCTTCAGAAGCCTGCACAGCCAATGTCAGTGAAAACTAATAGGTCCAAAGGGACCCCATGGTCACTTCTACAGTCCCTTTAGATGACGTTTACCATATGTTGCAGTTTGGTCCTCTCTTTTTCCCCGATTACCTAGCCTTATGTGCTTTCTCACAGGTTTGCCTGTGGGGTTCCAAAGCCCTGCTCTGAGCACGGATGTCAACAGTTTCCCAGCTAGTGGTTCACTCACTCCGGGAGAGGATGGCTTTAATTCGTCTCTGTGGCAGCATGGGGAGCTGTTTAGTATTGGGACTGGCACATACAGACTCAGGGACACAAGTGGCCCCGGATGGCATGCCAGCACACAGGAGGAGGTTGGACACACACACTCTACCCTGGGGGAAGGAGTTGGCCCTGCACTGCCCACTGACACCTGGACCACTCCTGGTTATAGAGCCTGAGGAGCACTTAGGGGCTGTTCCCCCACAGCTTCACAGAAAAGAGTGGTTGCAGAGACCCACGCATACCTTGTTTGAGAACCGCAGTTCAGTTTTTCTCTTGCTACACAATAGGAAAATCATCACCTATAGTGAGGATCAACCATCCCCCATCACCAGGTCCAAAAAGCAGCCCATCCAGCTGGTATTCTTGTTCCCAGCAGAGGCCCCACGGCATAGAAGCTTCAGAGGTAGAGGGTCTCAGAGACCCGTGGCAGTGGCAGTTCTCATTGTCCATCTGGGGCCTGCCGGGGGACAGATGAGTGTGAGGGTGATCATGCCAGGCCACTTGGGTGCTAGTTTCTCTCCCTCCTCTGACCAGAGCCACCTCCCTTTCTGGATCTCATTTTTGTTTCTATGTAAGCAGGGGGTCCTTGGCTAAACAGCTAGAATATTGCTTGCTCATCAGTGCAGTATCTGGTGCAGGCCCACAGGCCCTTATCTAAAGCTCATATGGCCAGATGGTTTGGAATTCACAGGTTTCCACATTTTAGAGGTGACATGGTATACAGTTGGTACACGTGTGTATGACATGGTAGATGGATGGTGCGCGTGCATGTGTGATGTGATGCGGGTACAGTTCAGCGTCCCTGGGGGAGTCTGAGGTAAGTAACCCTTTAGGATTAGACTTATATTTTTTCACTGAGATATATGACAATTTATACAAAATGGGATAAATAAAGGTCATAAATAAGTTTATACCAGCTCAGATTGGGTGTGCTGCCAAATGAGGTTGCCAAAAAATAAAAAATAAAACTTTTGTTTTAGGGCTTTCTGGATTTGGGGACAGCGTACCTAGGGTTGTATCTAGTGGTGCAGAGGAAATGACCCAAAACACCCTTCCCATGGGGAGACAGGATGCCCTGAGGTGCCCTGTTCCTAGCCTGGAGGCAGCCCCTTGCATGTGGGGGGAGGCGTACTGACACCTGACCCGGTGCCAGGGCCCCGAGTGCGGTGAGGAGGGGAGTAAAGACCAGTAGGTCTGTGTTGTGCCTTCCAGAAAGGCCCAGGAACCTGACCGGAGCTGTGAGCTGCTCTGACCTTCAGTTGGTCTTTGCTGTCCCCCACCACTTTCCAGGGGGCCAGCACCAAAGGGCTGAACGTGACAAGATGGTGTGGGCACAGTTTGGAAGAGGGTAGCTGGTGTGGGCACAGTTTGGAAGAGGGTAGCTGGTGTGGGCACAGTTTGGAAGAGGGTAGCTGGTGTGGGCACAGTTTGGAAGAGGGTAGCTGGTGTGGGCACAGTTTGGAAGAGGGTAGCTGGTGAGGTAAGCAAACAGATGGTGGCCCTTCAGGTGGGGCCTGGGCTGAGCGGGAGCGTCTTGTGGCAGCAGGTGCAGAGGATGGCCTGGGTGGGCTGCAGAAGATGGCCAGGGTGAGGGCAGCCCACACAGTGACTGCCAGCACCGAATCTGGCAGATGTGGGAGTGCAAAGCAGGTGCAGAAGAAAGGCCTGGGCCTGGGGTAAACTGTCACCACATCCCAGCCAGGCCCCCCGCAGCTCTGTCTAGGGTGAGGGCGTCTCCATTTTGTGCAGTCTCCCCTCTAAGTGCAGCCTCTCCTGTTGGCAGATCTGCCGCCGCCTTAATGGAGTCCGATTCACCAGCTGCAAGAGCGCCAAAGACCGTACCGCCATGTCGGTGACGCTGGAGCAGTGCCTGATTCTGCAGCACGAGCATGGCATGGCCCCGCAGGTCTTTACCCAGGCCCTGGAGTGCATGCGCAGGTGAGTCTGCGCCCGCCTCCCGCTGCTGACCCACGGGTCCCGCTGCTGCCTCCCAGGGCTCCCTGGCACAAGTCCCCTCAACTCCAGTGTCATGCTCTAGTTTGACTTTGGAAAATTCACTAGTGTCTACAAAGTCAAACCATAGGTGCTATCAAATTTGAGTCACTGTTTCTTTTTAAGTCAAGGGGGAAGCAAGGAGCTGGCTGTCTCTAGAGCAGGACTACATGGGAATAGGTAGATGGGGCCAGCTCAGGTGTCAGGAGATGACTGACACAAGGGAGCCCCATGAAAGCCGTTTGGCACATGGCCTTCCCCCAGCCACCTGCCTTGCTGTGGATGTGAGTTAGGTCCCCAGCTGTTTCAGCAGGCATCTGCTGCATACATCACATGCACATCCTTTCAAACCTGAGTGACAAGTACGTCTGCAGGTTGCACGATCTGCTCCGCTTCTCCCCTAGCAGTCGACACAGTTTGCTTTTATAAGCCGAGTGTCAGATGAGTGTTCTGTGATTATGGCAGCCACCTGCCAATGGGCTGTGGCAACCTTGCCCTAATGGTGTTCTGATTCTGAGGCAGCGGGCGTGTTTGCAGAGCGAAACCCAGGACTAGCACCTGTCTGCTGCTGGCCGAGGCCTTGTTTCAAGCACTGCCGGGGCGCACCTTGCCTCCCACCCCAAAAGAAAGGATAAGAACCTGGTTTTCCGTCTCCTTCACTGTAGTCGCCAATGCTGTCATAGTCTCGTTTCCAACAGTCACCCCTACTGAATGTTCTGTGTCATTTGTCCTCTCACCAGACTCCGCAGCGTTCAATTCTCTTATCCTTTCTATATTTCTGCTGTTTGACCTTCTCACAATGATGCACAAAAGCCACACCAAGCGCCTGCCTCTTGATAACAGCATTTTGTACAAATGGAATCTTCTTGTCCGTTTCGTCTTTCCAAGTTCATCTAAACCTCTCTGTCACCTCAGGGCCATCTCTTCATGCACTTCCAGAAGGTTCACCAACTCCCTGCCTTGGCCATGGGGAAGCAGTGGAGGCTCGGAGACCTTGACCGGGGCAGCCTTGACCAATGGCCTGTCCTCAAGGGGTTTGTGTCCGTCAGGCTCAGTGTCCCTGGTGTCATCAGGGTGACAGGGCCTGGGCTTCCAGCCACCTGTGAGGTGGCAGGAGGAACTGCTCTGGTGACACACAGACCTCGGCCAGCAAAGAAACAAGAGAAGTGGAGAGGGGATGTCTATGGTTTTTGGAACAAATAGTAGGATCAGGTTTACTCAGGAAAGCAAATGAAGCCTGAGATGTCACTGGGGGCAAAATGACAAAACTGTAGCTCTCCTGCTTCGGGCACATTGTGACAAGGCAGGGTTCTCTGGAAAAGATATTGATGTGAGGAAACTGAAGGCAGCAGGGAAAGACCCACTATGAGGTGGACTGACCCCATACGAGAAGCCATAGGCTGAGTCTACAGGAGCTGAGCACGGTTGTGAGGACAGGATATTGAGGACAGGATTCTGTTTCACTCATTCATAGTTGCCAGGAGTTGGTGCCAACTCACCGGCATGTCTCACACGCACACACGCACAGACACAGGTATGAGTGTGATTAACACATACATTGGTGAGCCAGTCCCTGAATAATACAGAAAACACACACATGTGCAATTTTGCTTGTTGTTTTAGCCTTTTTTTATTTAACTGACTTGTAAGCATTTTTTCGGGTTAATAAATATAGATCTTGTCATTTTTAACACAGCACAGTTTATCCAGTTTGTGGTCATTGACTGTTTGAGCTGTGTGTGGCTTTTGAGCACTTTAAAGGGTGCAGCCAATGTCCTCAGGTATACTAGCCACATCTGCCCATTGATTCATTAGATCGAAAAGCATACATACCTTTCGTAATGCTTTTCATTCAGATTGACACACTGTTCCCATAGCAGTCACAGCCCCTCCCCGTGTCGACCACTGAGGGTTTGCTTATCCACCCTCTGGGTGTCACCATTCCTGTCACTGTTCTGAACACTTCCGAGTCTGTACAACCAGCGTTGTTTCCTTCTATTAAGGGTGAGGACCCCAAGGTCCTGAACAGGAGACGCCCCTTGTGGGAATAGGCACCATCTCCTCAGCCTCCCCTGCCTCTCTGAAATCCCCACCCACCTTCAATGATGTTTGTCTTTTTAAAGTTTCTTATTTGTGTTTTCCTGAATTTTCTAAAACCTCCACAGTGAACATGTGCCACCTTAACAATCCCTCACGAAGTTACTAACAGAGCAAAGCCGGGTACCGCCCGCCCCTGCCCGCCCCCAGAATCATGGCGCCAGCCCAGGGTGTAGAGCTGGCTGCTGCCTTGTCCACCTGACCTTGCAGCATCTCAGGCTTCCACCACATACGTGTGCTCTGAGGTGACACTGTCACATCTTATTTCCATGTATTCCGGATCATCCCATGTTGAGGGCATGTGTTCATAGCCTGCAAGCCCGAGGTGATCGGGTCACTGACTGGCACTCCTGGCTGCAGGGGTAGCCAGGATCTGTCAGCCGAGAGCCCTATGGAGGCAGCAGTAGGTAGTGGCCGTGCCCTTGAGTGGAGCAGGTGTTCGGCTCCCCTGCTTTCTCGCTTGCATCTGACCGATGGGAGAAGGGAGCATGCAGGCCAGGGTGTGGGTGGGCGGAGGTGGTTGGGGTTGGGGCACAGTGGTGCTGAGGCTGTTCTCCTGGAGGCCTGGGTGGGCAGTGGCGGTGGCAGTGCTAGCAGCAAATGTTGAACAACCAACCCTCTCTCCAAGGAAAAAAAGTCCTGATCTTCATTGTTTGCCAATTTCTGTGGCATAAATACTCCCACTGGGACCTATTTCAAGCTACCAGTGTGACACCGTGGAACATGGAGTTGGGAAAGATGTGTACACTCGGCTCTTGCCAGCTATCTGAGCTGATTCCTGGTCATCTCTGTCCCCTGTCTAGGGGCTGAAACACTCATGGAGTATGCTTTCCTAGTGGCCACAGTGACCCCCCAGACTGCTCTGGTTGGGGATGTGACAGTACTTGCAGCATGGAAAGTGTCCCCTGTCACAGTGGCACTTCCCAGCAGGGTCAGTCCAGGATGTCCAGCTTCCTTAGGGAAAGCCCAGGAGGACCTCCTGCCTGCCTCTTTCTCAGGGGTCCTCATAGGGCACCCACCGTGTCCCAGTACCTCTGATTCCATGTCACTGTTGCCACTCGGAGTGCCATGTCCAGAGAATGTGGTTGTGGAGCCCTAAGTTCTGGCTGCATCTCACCTCAGGACATTTCTTCTGAACCCAAAGTGGGGGGACTCCAGATTTACCAGTGCAAGCTTTGTTGGATGCCATTCTTGGGGACAGAATGAAAAGTTGGAGCTACCAGTAGCCGACGCCCTGCCACCGCTCTACCTGAAAGCCAGGGCGAGACTAGTTAGGGC